AGAAATGAATAGTTGTAATGGGCAGGAAATGAAAACACTGTAGAATATTCTTGATACTGGTCAATAAGCAACCTGCAACGCATGCTTATTCCAACCAGAAGAGAGAACAAAAGAGATGAAAGGAGACGTAACTGAGTGTCAAAGCTGAAGCCTTGCAGTGACAGGGACTGATGCTCTGGCTGCCCCTGGGCAGCAGCTCTTAGAAATGAGGGTGGTGGTGCACTCCATTGAATGTGATGCCAAGCCACGGTCATCCTTGTGCTCCATATAAATTGCCCAAAACTCTACATCTGAAAATGTACTTTCACACGTTGCTTCTAGTTGCATTTATTTTATTTGACAGACTTCTCAGCTGCAGTACTGGTGTTCACATCTCTATTTCACATTTATTTGTCTTTTTGTTGACTAAACATGGTAACTAACTGCTGCAGTTAGTAATTCTTAGCTGTAATTTTGATAACTCTGAAGCAGAGCTGTTATTCTTAATGGAAAATATAATTTTATTTTTGTCAGTTTAACTGTAAACGGATCATGCTGATGATCTTGTAATAACATTTTGTAGATTGCGTATTGATTAAAAAAATAAAGTTGTATTTCAAACTTGCTGTTTCTTGTCCCTTCACTAACAATTTATCAAGCTTGTTTTACATTTACTGTAATTAACTGGTTGATCTTGTAGTGGCAAGTACTGCAGTTCATTAGAAAAAGGAATTGCACTGTGTGTATGAGTGGGGGATATCACTCCTAGTCTCAAATGATGCTGGTCACAGGAAGCTGAACTACATATTCCATTAATGATCATATACTGCAGGCTTTTTGCCTCATTCACATAACAATAGTAAGCCAATGAATGTTTTTTTTTTTCCTATCCATTGCTTCTCCAAACTCCCTGGGATGTTTGAATGCAACCTAGTGACAATCATTGAAGACCTTCAGAAATTTCAAAGTCTGTTCTTGAAATGAGCTGCAATTCATAATGAAGGGTGAAGTCACAGTGGGGAAATACAGGAGTAAGGCAGAGGTCTGTGGGGCAGCACTTCAAGGAAGTGCCTTGAAGTATAAAATAACCATGCCACTTATCCTGTGCTGCTGTCTCTGTAGCAGGTGAAAGCACGTAAACATTTATTTTTAGGACAGTTTCCTAGCATGCGCTATGTTCAGCTGTTTTACAGCTCTTTCATTAGTAAAATTAATTTAAAAATGACCTGTAATTTTTTAGAAGAATCACCTCTTAGACACAGCACAGTGGAGTTGGGAAGCCTTGGAGCAGGGCTAGAGCTTTCTTGGGGATACAAGATAGGAGGTTGAGTATTCAGGAAAGGCAAGGTTTATTTCATCCGTAATTAGGATTACTTATGCTGGATGAGTTTCTGGGTGTTTTAGAAGAGCAGAGCTGTATTCTGCTATTTGGTGTATTCAGTCTACCAGGAGTGCTGTTTTTATACTGGTGTTTTACAGGCCAGAGCTCTTATGCTCCCCAATATCTAGAAAATGTATCATTAAATTGAATTCAGAGAAAGCCTTTCCTACAGTTCCTCTGATAAAGTGGTTTGAACCAGGTAAAAAAACAGGAGAGTCACATGAGGAAACAGGAGTGACACATCATAAATGGGAGAGGAATGAATCACAGGTCCCAGCTTTATCTGTCTCACATCTCCAAAAGAATGAAGGAGCTCACAGTAAAACCACACTATTAATAAAACTGGTTATGATACCAGAGCACCATATCTCTAAACCAACAGCTGAAAACAAAGGCAGCGTGTTAGATAATATCTTTAAAATGAAATTAATAGTTCTGCCCATGTCAAGGCTGCTGCATAAGGACTGCCCAGATCCTGCAAGCACTTTCTTCTAAGAATGATTACTTTTACTTGGCAAGAGGAGCGAGATGGTAGCTGTAAAACAATACCTTAAGAACGAGAGAGCTGGTGATGTTCCTCAACAGCAGCAATACTGGTTTTTAACAGCAGAGGGCATTCTCTACCAAGCATCTGAGTTCACTGACAGTGTTTCAAGTGGTAATGCATTGGAAAACAGTATTTTTAAAAATGAATAATAAAGATTCATCATCCGAAATTAAATCTTCCCTAGACGTCACGTATCAAGAGGAGTATAAATAATTACAAATTAAAACCTGTCCGGTAAATGAATGTTTGAGGTGCCCTTAAGCATCACTATCCCAAATGCTGACAAAACCCTGAAAAATCAGGAGGATCTGAACAGCATACTAATCTTTTTGATAGCCCGGCTTCTAAAACACTTGAGAGCTGTTAAAGAAACTGCAGTGGGGAGGGCTGGACTGGAAGCTGAATTTAGACTGATGAAACCTGGATGCTGTTCCCAACTGCTTTATGTGAGGCTGGGCAAAATATCTGGTGCATTTCTACACTACAGAGTGGGGTTAAATGTTAAGAAAATGCATAAGCATGAAAATCGTGACAGGCTTGCATTTTATGTTGCAGGACACGGATACTATGTTAAGATCAGCAATATCAAAAGTAGCTCATTAGTATTAAGTACTGCTATTATTGGATATTTTTATAGATTTTCTTATTCAAAGAAGATTTAATTTAAGGATGTAATTAACCAGGCTTTTTTTCATTCTTGTCCAGTGGACACACTGATCACACCTGATGAGAAGGTATCTTCTCTAGTAATTTCTAACAGACATTTTTCCAGGTAGTAGCCAGACCTCAGGTGATAGCCAAGTGCCTTGATTAGCAGGCAATGCCCATTGCAACCTCTCTGTCTGTCTTGGAAAGTTGTATCCTCACCCTCTATTTTTACTTTCTCCTAAGCAATACCTGTGTGCTATGGGTAGGTGTAGAGTGCTGTTCCTGCATGAAGGGAATTCACACATTGACTTTGGTGGTGGGGCTTTGGCATTTACCAGCAATATACAGGACAGTATTTACAACAAACAGGATATGGCTACAGCGCCTTGTGCTGGTGAAATTTGTTAGACACATAAAATACAGAAACACACCGTTAACTTGAAGGGCAGGTGAAGCTTATTTGCCATGCTCTGCAAATGTCCTTGTGGTCGTATCCAAAGTAACCTGGCCTCTCTTTGAGACAGCTGAGAAGTCCTGCAGAACCAATCTCCCCATTCTGCACCTCTTTTTGAAGTCAGATATGCAAACAGTTCCAAGTTCAGGGAACTCTGCAACACCCTGGATAAATGAAAGACCATAGCAAGCGAGAAACTCATTTATAAATGTTTTTCTTTCAGTACGTTTTTCACCTTTATAAAACTGCCGTATGGTAATGCTGGCAGATAGATGGCTATGTATCAGGTTTATCTGTCTCATGAATAAGTTGCAGCCAGCTGCAGGATCACCATCTGCAATCTTCAGGGCCCAGTGAGATCCTAAAGGCTTCTTGCTATTTCTGCTAACACGACAGGGCTAATCAGACAGGAGAATAATGGCTCTCTTGGTATGCGCTGTCCCAGACAGTTTCAAATGAACACTATGCTTTAAAAATACATTCTATTATTCAAATTATTCTATAAGCAAAGCAACATGCCTTGCCTTTTTCTAGTGTTGATGCAGGGTGTACAGAACAGCTGAATACGCAATTGTCATTTGATTCAAGATCTAGACAGTATCATTAAACATTTCTGTTACAAAGCAAAATTACTTCAGTAGCAGATAGCACTTGTTCTTTGTCTCGCTTGTAAAAATGCAACTTAGAATATGATTATGGATGTTGCTTCTTTTTTTATGTTGTGGGTGTTAGTCTAGCTTTATAATTAAGGGTCTGTCAGGATTTTCGTTGAAATATTTTCATTCTTCAGATTGTGTAAGCCAGCCTTAAAATCAGTGCTTAAGGGCAAGTGTTCTCTTTACAAATCAGGCAGCACTACATACCTACCTAAATACAGATAAAGGAAGAAAAAAAAGATGTTTCTAGGTTCTTAGGATCAGAAGAATAACACCAACATAGATGTGGATGGAAGGTGTGCAAAGGAAGACCGGAAATATACACTCTGCTACATGCATGATCATAATGAACATTTTTCCAGATGTAACTGCTAAATTGGTAAATCTCTGTATTAACACACAAACAGATTGCAGCAAATGTAAGCAATAATTTGTGCAGTTGTACCAGACTGTTGCTACTTAACCAAGAGCTTCAGCTTTCTCCCTGTTTATGAGGTAAGAATGACTTCAGAGTTTATTAGAGCAAGATAATATGCTTTTGTAGCCAGCTTTCCTAGACGTGCTTTTGCACTACAGAGGCAACCATACTTCTCCAAACTAAGCCTCCTTTCCACCATAAACAAAAGCTGGATTTTCTGACTGCCTTAAGGTTCTGTTAGAGCTCTGGGCCCAAACTGGGCACCTCAGGTGCCATGTACAGCCCAGGTGTTGGTCAGTCTTTGCCCTCTAAAGCTGAAAGAAGAAACTTGGGTTTGGTAACCAGTGCTCAGCTGAAACCCAATGCGTGGCAATGTATGTGCTGCTTCAGGGATAGGGAGGAAAAGAGAAGCTCAATGGGAGCAGAGGAAAGCACGAGTTCTTTAAAACACTTTCTTCTCCAGTTGATGCTATCACTGATAACAGTTAGTAGCTTTGCCAGTGCACTTTTCATCAGTAGGCAATGGGAGCAATCTTACAATAGCACTGCTTTTTTTGCAGGCGAGGAAATGGAGACAAAGAGCAGCAGGATGACCTGCTTTAGGCCACCAAAAAGGCTCAGACAGAAGCTTTAGTTTCTTGGCTGCTTCTGCATTGGCGCCTTAGCTATTGGTCCACACTGCCACGATTACCGTGAGACTGTCAACAGGAGCCAAAAGGCCAGCGAAAATAATAACTGCGGAGCAGCACAGCTTCACAAAACAGTAATTACTCCAGCCAGCCGTAACTGAACATGCTACTCAATTCCTACTTTTGAGGAGCTAATGGCAGTGGCTGGTCACAGTCAGCCCTGGCTTTCCACCTCCCTCGTAGAAAGCAGGTCCCCACGTGCCCATCGGCTCGGCTCGGCCTCCCCCCATCCCGCCATGTCTCCCACGTTCGGGTGGGGCCGGCGGCAAGCAGGCCGCGTCGCCATGGCAACGGCGCCTTTAAAGGCGGAAGGGGCGGTTATGGGAGGCTGCCGCCATGGCGCACGGCAACCCTGTGGTGAGGGGCTGCAGCCGCTCCTTTGAGCGGGGGATGGGGAGAAGCGGCTGCTCCTGGCCCGGGGGGGCGGGTGTTCGCCAGGGAGCTAGGCAGGGCTGCTCTCCTCGTGGTCACTGCTTTATTTTTGCTGATTTGAAGGCAATGGTTGCACTTTTCAATTGCTTTGCAGAGTTGTTGCCTAGTATACAGTGTAGTAATTAGCAGTCCTTGTCCTAAAGCTGTGCTTAGTGCAAGTTCTGCCTTAACTTCATCTTTCCCCTTGTATCAGTATGCTGTTGAGGTGTAGGGATTGCTGTGATTAGTAAGCCTTACGCTGCCCAAAGCTTGTTAACTTCCATTTTGGTCTGAATGGCTGCGTCTAGAAGCTTGTTATAGCTGGTCTGCTCTCCAAGACAGCAGGGATGAAGCAATAAAACGTTGTGTTACAGCCCTACTGTAGCATAATGATAGCTCAAGAGTTAAAATTACTGTAACTTAGCAACTGCATGGCATCGTGCTGTTGTCTCAGACAACAATCTTGGGTCATGCAGGCTTACAGGAACAAATGGGCTTGCATTTTTGGTAGCCTTGCAGACACCTGGCAGAATACTTGTATTGAAGTGCTTGATTCATGTTGTTCAGTTTGTAACAGTTGTTTACGTGGCCAGGTTAGACTTTATGCAGTCACTTCAAATATTACTGTTCATCTTAATTTGAATTTTTTTTTCTTTTCTTTTGGCATAGCCTAAACTCTACAAGTCCATTATTGACGATGTGATTGAAAGTATTCAGGACCTCTTTGCAGAAGAGGGAGTAGATAAACAGGTTTTGAGAAAGCTGAAGGAGGTTTGTTGGTTTTCCATGTATTAATAAATACTGTATAGTTATCTGTTTCTCTGTCTTCTAAAGTGTGTCGATTTTTTCTCTAGCTTAGATTTATAAATATTCTGTTAATACTGTACTGGGCTTCTGGAAGTCAGAATCTAGTAGTGATTGTAGCCACGTTTATTGTATGAAACTGGTTTACAGCACTGCTAGTTGGCTGAAGGAAGGGATTACTCCACTGTGCAGCCTCACCTTGAGCACTGTGTCAGGGGAGGGCTTTGGGGTTAGGGAAAGGCTCTGCCTCCGAGGGTGGTGGGCATGGAGCAGGTGGTCCAGAGCAGTGAGCATGGCCCTGAGCTGCCAGAGTTCAAGGGGCATTTAGACAGTGCTATGAGACATAGAGTTTGGGTTGTGGGTGATGCAGAGCCTGAAATTGGACTCAGTGATCCTTTTGTGTAGCTTCTATCTTAGCATGGTCTATGATTCTCTGCTTTTGGAAAATCTAGAAATACCTGATTTATAAATAAGTGGCTTTAAAACTGATATCAGTTGACTTTAATATTCTCTTTGCAGCTCTGGGAAACCAAGGTTATGCAGTCTAAAGCAACCGAAGGCCTCTTCAAACACAGCCACCATTCTTCACGCTTAACTCTACATGTTCCACACAATTTTCATCATGTTTTGCAGGCTCCAACAGGTCAGACTCTGCAAATGCAGTTTAAGTATAGCTCAGTGTTTTAAGTATCTTTTGGAAGACCTGAAGATGCTGGAATGGTCTTTGCCATGCTTTTGTGTATATCTAGCATAACACAGGACAGTATGTCTCGCCCTGAAAGCAGAACTTGACCAGTAAGGGAGAAAAATAAACTTTGATTAAAGCTGTACAGGTATGTCTAGATGCACTTTATCTGCCATTTATTTCTAACAGGGAAACATGAAGAGAGAATTTTTGTCCTCTTACCTCTAGTCTAGAAACGTAAAGCTTCAGTTGCAAATTCACCGGATGTGTTAAGACTTTGCATCCCTTATAATGTATGGCACAATGTGTGCTGGGGGTTATGTGACATGCTTGTGCCCTGGAGCTCTTCTGTCAAGCTGGAGTTGAGTCTAGTTCTGAACATCTCAAAATTCAAGCCCTTACTCAAACAGAGTGCAAGTTTTTGGTTTGCCATTTCAGTTGGTTACATTTCGTTGTACTAAAAACAGCGTTTGCAATGCACAGAAGAATGTGACTTTTACACAGGCTCAGCCAGCAGGACTTAACTCTTCTTAATTAAGGCTTCGGTGGGCTACCTGACCAGTATGGTAATCTCATGGTAGGATGGAATTCTCAGCTGAGGCCTGTGAGAGAGGACAAAGACCTTTCCTGACAAAGAGCAAAGGTCATATGTGATTGTTTAATGAAAATGTATCATAGTGCTTGTGTCCATGGAGAACCTTTCATGGTTAGGTGGGTGCCTTTCATCTGCTTATTTTTTACAGTCTTATTTGAAAGGACTATTTTTGGAGACAGATACTTTATTTATCCCACGTTATTAAAGGGGAAATAGATTTGGGCTTTTTTTGTTATTGGAAGCTTTACATTTAATTAACTTCATTAATCCTATGTTTTGGAAAGGCACAATCAAATCTGTTGAATTCAGGGAATTTTTTTTTTGTTGTTGTCTATTTTTTAGTAGGATTTGAATTAGTGTTTTCAAACTAGTTAGGGATGCATAGATTCTTCTGTGCCTGAAGTTTGCAAAAGTTTTCCCTTTGATTTGTCTTTTAAGTCAGTATTAATGCTTTAGTATACCCATCTTACTGTTAGCACCATTGGATATTTGCTGGAGCAGAAAACAACTTATACGTTTTCTTCATGTTGCCAAGGCAGTGCATTTTATGCATGTTGATTGTATTAATAAATAGAAATGGCACACTTAGCTTCTACACTGCAACTTCTTAAGTTCATTGAACAGAAATATCTTTCCAACAAAATCTCCAGGATAAACTTTTAATAAACTGCAGGTTTCCCATATCAAGGTATAACCTGATGTTCTGAGTACAGCATAAGCTTGAAGCAATGTAAAAGGAAGTATATCCAGCAGCTTCATCTAGATGTGCTTATTTGTTGATCTAACTGTATGAACTGAAGTTAGATTGCTTTAGTTTTAGGACTTCATGATATAAGTAACTGAATGTTCAACTGTTTCTGAGACATTCTGTTTTGTTTTTTTTTTTTTTCTTTTTCCCCTTTTAATAGCTTCTTTAGTTATCCCAACTGGAGGAGGCTTTCAGCATTTCATAGCAGCTGACCTGGTATGTAGCTGTAGTGACTTTTCTGTTTTGATTATTCTGAATTCTAAATATTTAAGTTTGTCAGTTGTTAACAGGCTGGTGGGGAGGCAAATTTGAAGCATTTCCCCTGCATAGATGCTTTAGGGCAATTATTTAGGAGCAGAAAAGTTAGCATTTCTAATAACTGTTTTATCTGTGCAATGTGGACTGATAGGCAAGGGAACAGGAATCTTATTGGCAGAGAATCCACAGCTGAAGAAACTCAGTGTGTCATGTCTAGCCCTCTTATTTTTGAGGAAAACCATGCAAAAGCTAAGAGTTCCTGGAGGGAGGGCTCAGTTCTGTCTAAGCAGGGGAAAAAAGGATGGAGATGTAGCACTTGGTTCTGCAAGTAGTGGAGCCAGAAATGAGCTGGAAAACGTGCTGCACAGATTTAGCCCATGGATTGGTAGTACTGAAAATGTACGTGTGTGCAACAGTTTTCTTATTATTGAGTGTTTAAAGTCAAGTTGGAAGCTGCATTATCTGTGAGGTGCAGAAATGGGACGAAAGTGATGTTTTTGGAGTGATAGGCTCTGACCTCTTGGCACAGCAGAACTTGTTAGGGCAGGGGAGGATGCCATATCATCATTCAGAGCATGATGAGTGTATTGAGTGCCTCCTCCTGAGCCTTCAGCTAATGTGTTTGCCAACCTGCCAAACAATATTGGGAAGATGTTTGTGTAACATGTGAATTCCCCCATTTAAAATGTGCATTTCCCAAGAACAGCTAGTTTGAAAGGGAACTTTATATCCAACTCTTTGCTTTCCAGGAGAAAAGAGAATGATATCAAGTGTTCTCATAGGCGTAGGTGAGGAGTCTGTACAGCATGCATAAGCTTATGTAAAAGAGGCTGAGTGGAAAGGTGTTGTTGTGGATGATGTGCTCACTGAGGGTCTGCAGGTGGCTTGTTAATTTTCAGTATATGATAACTGGAAGAACTTGGGGCAAGCCATTATCTTTGCAGTCAATACTATCTGCCTATATATCAAAAATCTGAAGCAACTCTTCAGTAAAGGTGATTACAAAAAGGCTGTCATTTTTTTTTTTTTTTTCTTTGAGCACGTTAATTGTGACATTTAGGGCCCTATAAGAGAATAAGGTATGAGCTGTTACTTAATAAACTTCTTGCATTTCTTAGGGTGCTTCACAAAGGGGTGCAACTCTTACTCTCCCTTCCAGTGTTGCTTATCCCATACATGTACCAGCTGGACTGACTCTGCAGACAGCATCTGGTAAGATTAAAGAGGAGATGTAACACATCAGAGTGCATTGACTGTATGTGGATATAGATGGTTCTGAGTGCAGTAGATAAAATAAATGTGAAGTTAAAGTATAGGTGGGTAGAGCCAGTTATCCTCCTCTTCCTTTGTAGCTTGTAATTGCTGCATGGAGGAAGTAATTATGTTGATTAGTTGGTGTGTCAGTTGTGTATACTTGTAACATCAGTTAAGATGAGCTGCCAGGTGATGCCATTTTTTTGTTTGCTTGTTTTACAGCTGTGGGCAAACACATGCCTTTGTCAGTCTGGCTCTGTGTTCTGCATGAGGGGCATCCTTTCTGTTTTAAACTAGTAATCGTGTTTTGGTGTTTCAGAATTGAATTCATTTCTTATTCAAATGAAATCTTAGTACCCATCACCCCCTTTTTTTTTTTTTTTTTTTTTTTTTTAAATCACTCTCCTTTACTGATGAAGTCATCTGTAGTGCTGTACAAAATCTACTTGTACTGCTTAAGTTGTGATGAGTGGGAAGATAACTTCATGGGTTGACTTTTTCCTTGAACAGCCATTCCTCGAGCAATAATGCCACTAGATGTCTATTTCAAGTATAAGTTAAATTGAGAACTTGGTTCTGGCATCTTAATTCTAACACTGATAATAACAAGGCATTCAGCATTTCGAGTGGTTTTCATACAAGGGGAGGACAGATATACTAGAAGCTTTCTATGTACAATTTTTTTTTTGTGGGGATACTGAAAGGGCTTTAAAAGAATGAACTATCCCTGTACATAGGGATCAGTTTACTGTGCCATTAAAACTACTGAGTTTGCTTCTATAGGGTACTGTGGAGGCACAAACCATAAATACCATAAATGGGTATTAAGCATGGTAATCTAGATGGAAGCTTTGATTGAAAAAGCCTCTAAGCTCTTAATTGGGGATCAAACTGTGCTTGGGGGAGTACTGCTTTGTATACCTCCTGTTGCTTTCTTTTTTCTTTATTTATTTTTTTGCCTGGTGTCTTAGTTTCAGCTGGGACAGAGTTCTTTTTCTTCATAGAATCTGGTATGATGCTACGTTTTTGTTTTAGGAGAAAATCAATGTTAACAACACACTGATGTTTCTGGTTGGTGCTGAGCAGTGCTGCCCAGAGCAAGGATGTTTCAGTTTTCTCAGCTTCTCCTATTGCCCTGCCAGGAAAGTGGCTAGGGGGACAAACTGTATGGAGGGGACAGAACCAGGGCAGCTGACCTAAACTGGTCAAAGAGATGTTCTGTGCTACACAGCATCATGCAGAAAGAACATTTGGGGAGGGGAAAAAAAAAGGGAAAGTTCATCAGGTGGGCTGCTGCTTGGGCAGTGGCTGCATCTTAATTAGCAGGTGATGAGTGATTGTTTGTGCACCACCTATTTTATAAATATCATTGTCATAACTATGATCCTTTTCCCCTCTTCCTTTTATCATCTTATTAAATAGTTTTTATCTCAACCCACATGTTCTACTTTTTTTTTTTTTTTTTTTTGCTTCCTAATTTTTCCTCCATTCCACCAGGAAGGTGGAGATTGAATGAATGATTGTTATGCTTAGCTACTGCTGGGTTAAACCAAAACACCTGGGTGTTGGCTGTTATCTCTGTAGTTCAACCTTATGAAGCAGTTCTTCACCCTTCTCTTTGTAGGGCAGCTTTATCAAGTAAATATGCCTGTTATGGTTGCACATGGCCAAGGAGATGCAAGTATTCTGCAGCATCCTCTTCAGCAGATGTTTCAGCCTGTTGGCCAACCTTCAGTTCTGAAAACAAACGTTGCTAGTGTTGCTCCGGTGAGATCTTCTGTCCAGGCAACTGCTGAGACATTGCAAACCCAGAAGACTGAAGTCCAACAAACTGTGGTGTTTCAACCGAGTGCCTTGCAGAATAAACACCCAGAGAACTCCACCAACACTGTGCTGTTTCGGCAGCCTGCAGTGAGTCGGCAGGAGATTGCAACTAATGCAGTGTTAAATCAGTGTGCAGAGTTAACAGAAAAATCCCAGTGCAGCCGTCTTCATACAGCTGTGTTTACTTCAGGATCCTCTGAAGTGTTTTCTCCTGCTGAATCCTTGGCAAACCACCCAGGCAGTGTGCTGCTGCCAGATGTGGAGGGGCAGTTAGACGTGAAGCCTCAGGAATCAGTGCAACAGCAGGTGTCTGATGTCATTGAGCTGATTATCAAGGGCAAAAGTTTAGATGATAATGCTGCTCTGAAAGACCAGGATAGCGAGGCTCCCACAGACAAGGTAGGAGCCTTTATTTCTAAGCTGGTGAAAATGCATCTGTTGTAAATGGCTGTGTGAGGAACAAGCTTTGAACGAGGTGTGATCAGATGCATCTGTAAGCAGCTGAACAATAACAAAAAGTGTAATTTTTAAGTTTGCTATTGAGCCTGTTTTGAACAGAGTAGCTGACTGCTTATTTTTACATTTAGAACTTTGGTTACCACTGCTGAAAAAAATTGGATTGAATAGAATATTAGTTTGAAAGACTGAAGTGTGTTAGTTGTAGTGCATTCATAGATTTATAGACTATTTTTGAGATTTTTCTGGCCTCAGAACAGATGTGAATGATGATTTTAGAACTACAGTGTCTTTGTGATGCTGAATCTGCTTGTGGAGAGTGGCCAGTTGTGGTCAAATTGCGTTTGGAATGTCAACAGAGTTTAATTTTAACTCATAATGTATGAAGGGCAATTAACTTACTTTGAGAGTCCATGCTGAGTATAAGAAGTCAGATTTCTTAAGTGAGAATCTGCAGGAAGGAAATGTATTTTCATGGGGGGAAAAATCCTGACAAGCTAGAATCCAGCTAGAGCTGTGTTGGAAAACTTAAATGATTTTATTTCACAAGCCTCTGTCCTGACTTCATTACTCCTTGTTCCAGCAATCATTTGCAAATATTGCAAGTTCAGGCTGGCGTGCTGACTTTGAGTTGTACTGTTTATATGAGATTGAGGCAAATTTATTAAATACAAATTGAATGGCAGTAACAAAAAAATGTCAGTAAACAGAAAGCATCTTACTTTGCTCATCTACACTTGGGCAAGTTGGTGAAGACTGGAGGAAGAACTGAAGGTCAACATGTAGTCTTTCTTTCTTGATTTAGAAACTGTATGTGGACGTCAACTTAGTGCTACAATAAAAATTGAATGTGAAACCAAAGATCACTGAAACTTTAAAACCTTTTTACACTCCTGTGAGTTCCCTGTTCAGAAATTCTAATGCTTTTATGTGCAGTAACTTGGAGAACTGAAGTATTTACTCTCTCATCTTTTTATATCTTATTTAAAAATGCATTTTGAAATGAGGGAAAGGGATGAATACATCTTGGCTTTTTTTTTTTTTTTTTAAATAAGAAATACTCTAAGTTATTGGAATTTTCTTTGCAATAGAAATTCTAGAGGCTAGCATGAATATCTTTTTTTTTTTTTTTCTGAAGAAGTTGTTTAAGTTGACTACAGTAGCGTTAAAGAAAAGTCTAAGAAAATGTATTTCTATGTTACTAAGGGAATATTTGACACTGATTCCATTTGAGGTAGATGTAAGAACAAGGTTTTTCAAACATACTTGGGGTTTACAAGTAGGCTGGGACTCGAAGCTCCCACTTAAAGCAACAAGATTTAGGGCACTTATTAAACAAAAATCTTAGGCTTTATATTGAACAATGAAAGCTGTGGTGCTAATTCACAGTCTCTGGTCTTTTTTTTATTCTTTTCAGATGGAACCTACTGAGCAGGTGGAATCTGATTTACAGTCAGAGAGGGGTATCTGCAGTGACACTGAAGGCATAATTCAGCTAGATGGAACTTGTGATGGTTCTCCCAAGAAAGAAGTACTACATACAAAAGATACAGAAGAGAATGAGTTCATTGGCATTATTGAATCAGAGGATCTGAAGATTCTGGAGGGTGAAGAAGATGAAGAAGCTGACAGTATTTCAAACTCTGAGTCTAGTAGCAGCTGTGACAATGAAGAGCCCCAAACAGACATTGTTGAGGAGGTAATTTACTTTCAAGCCCTCTGAAGGATGTTACAATAAAGTAGGTCCAGTAACTCAGTGTTTGAGGTGGATACAACAGCTCCTGTGGAGTATAGTGCAGAGAGTGCATAGTTAGGGGCTTCTTCTCAAGAGGAGGGAGGTGCTGCTGAGGAATTACTAGAGAGCTTGTTAGGAGGGTAGCGAACAAATGAAAGGTGTTGAGAAGTCATATGTTTACTGGATCAGTTAAAATACTTGATTAGCAGAATTAAAACTCTCTGGTGAAAGCCTGCCCTCACTGGAATTGACTTCTTTCAGTTTTAAGTAAGATTAGGAAAGTAATATAGTTTTATTTTTCCTTCTGGAGAGCTGCAGGGAATTGGATAGAGGACAGTGATACAAGTGTATGTGTTTCCCAGGAGAAGATGCTGTTGTGTGTATGTGTTCTTGAGATTCACAAGAGCATTAACTTGCAGAATCTGAACTAAAATATATCATAGAATCTTGGAATCCTTTGTGTTGGAAGGGATGTCTGAGGACCATCTAGTCCAACTCTCCTGCAACGAATAGGTACACCACAGTTAGGTCAGTTGCCCAGGGCCTGATCCAGCCTCACCTTGAATGTCTCCAGGAATGGGGCATCAACCACAACGCTGGGCAGTATGCATCATTTGATGAGTATACCAGTTACCAGGTGCAGCTTTGGCTGTAGTAGCTCTGCTTTGTTTTACTTTGTTTTGCCATGTGTTGTTTTTTGTTGTTGTTCTTCAGGGGAAGGATGCTTTAGTTTTTGAGAACATAGATGTGAAGATGCTTATAAGTGAGCTTTGTACAGCATCATTTTTCATAGCTTCTAAGTCTTTCTTTGAGTGTTAAACTTCATTGTTCTTGTTGTGTATAATGTCAAGTATATTCAATGCTAACTTGCAAAAATGGATAAAATACTACTTAAATGCAGTCTTATTCTCTAGGACCCATTAAATTCTGCTGATGATGTCAGTGACCTGGACATTGCCGACTTGTTTGACACCAACAATGTGATAGTTTGTCAGTATGAGAAGGTACGATATGTAGTTCTATCTTTGTCCCTGACCTGCTTTAAATATCTTCATATCTGGCCTGCTTTTGGTGCCTTTTAAAGAAAAACTGATGTAATAGATGGATTAGCTGACAGTAGTCTGAAGATTTGTGTGCTGTTTTTTGAAATAAGAATGATCAAATTGTTCATAAGGGCCTACTAGGGGAAAGAGAAGAAGGTTGAATGTTTCAAAATTAAGTCTTGTAAACCTGCTAAAGCTTATGTGTTTCCTTAACTTCTAAGTAACACAAACAGTTCCATGGATGCATGGCTGCACTTTAGCCATGGATTAAGATTTTGAAATGGATAACAGAAAACAAGAGTGTGTACTGTTCCTAGTTCTCACTTTGAAGTGCTTCTTGAAAGATTTTAGTACAAGAATTTGTTGTCTGAAAAACAAAACAGTTGCTAAGGGCCATTTTGCCCTGTTTTATTTTTAATATTGAAGATTTAGCCTCATTTTGAATTCTCAGAGATCAAATGAAGTACTTGGTTTGTTTTGGACATTTACATGTCTATAGCTTAAAGGCTGACAAAGCAAAGTATGTATCTTATTTTGAAAGCAAATATGGAATAAGATTCCAATAGCTTGCAAAGGTTGACTTGGCTTTTATGCTTTCATAAGAGACTTGTGGTAATTCTTGTATGTTCAGCTAGCTCTGCCTTAAAGGGGTCTGTGTTCTAGGAAACAGTGGGCTGCTAAGAAAACTGTCTTTACTAAAGTGTAACAGATTGAGCTTCTGAAGATAGTTATTTGGGAAGATGTAGCTGCAGGGATGTGTGTGGAGAAGCCATCAGAAATCAAGCCTGTGTTGTTGCAGACGTACCAGTACACAAAGGTTTGAAGCATAGTAACTTAATTTGGTACCACGAGTGCTATAGGTAGTGGATTTCACATCTGTAGCAAGTTTTGTCTGTCATGAGTTGAAAAATCAGTTCGGTGTTTTTCCTTAAACTGGTATGAAGTTCAACACTAGATAAATCTATAGGGAATTTAATGTCAGATGTCACTGGAAATTGGCAGTTAGGGAAGTTGAGGGAGGTGTTGGTAACTTCCCCTTTTCCAACATAGATTTAATAAAACATATCCACGTAATAGAAAGTAGATGGAAACAGTTACCTATGAAATTATCTTGTTACCTGTAAAAGAATGCCAAAAGCAAAATGGCTGTCCTTTCTCCTCTTGCTCTCCCATGTCCTGAATTTGAAGATAAGCTGTTGCTTACAACACAGGAAACTTAGAGATGTGTAAAATTCCTTCTTTGCTATCAAACATATCCTTTCTGTAGTATGGATCTTCATGCAGGCCTTTAATAAGAAATAACATGCAAAGTCTATCTTGCTGTTTTGTATGGCAGTTTTTGCTTTTTGAGCAACGTCCTTCTGTTGTTAGCATTACCTTACCATCCTTTGTGCATGCAGTATTGCTTTGTCATGCATGTGGGAAAAGGAAATGACTGCATTGTAGTGAAGCTGCCTTTATTGAGTATTTGTGACATTTTCAAAGAGAATCTTGCATGTTTGGAGCTGCCATTTTAAGATAAATCCAAATTTTGCATACCAATTTATGCTTTAAAAAACCCTTTTCTTAATGGATGATCTAATTTTTTTTTTGTGTTATCAGATACATAGAAGTAAAAACAAATGGAAGTTCTTCTTAAAAGATGGAGTGATGTCCTTTGATGGTAGAGACTATGTTTTTGCAAAAGCTGTTGGAGATGCAGAGTGGTGAAACCTGACTGTCGTACGTATGTTAAGACTGGCATTGTTCCTTCACAAACCATCTGTGAAACAACTAAACTTTCTATATTTTGCCATAAAGACCCATACAATTAGCTAAAATATGTAAAATCTTTGTTGTTAAAACATGCAAATTAAAATAGTACTGTTAACTACAATCTTTTCTCTTCTGATTATTTCATTACTTTTCCAGCCAAAAAGCATTGTTGAATTGAATAGCTTTAAAGACTAGAATGTTGTGTTTGTTAGTAATTCAAGAAAGCCATAGAATACTAAGTGACTGTATGTAAGTAAATTGTGGTTTAATTTTCTTATTTTTTCTTAAATAAGAGCTGGAGTATAACCTGAAATGTAAAACTACACAGTTGTGAGAGATACTTGTGTTCAGAGATTTAACATCTGTGCAAGTATGAAACTTGTGGCTGTTTCAGCTGAGTATTTTTTTCCTCTTTCTTTCTTCTCCCTTGCTTTTTTTTTTTTCTTGTTGCTGTTAATTTGTGGTGGCCTTTTTTGGCTTCAGCATACAGGCAGGTATTTTATATGCAAGTTGGGAAACATGGGTGGAAGACCCTTGAGCTCAATATATGAAAACTATTATTGCTTGTTCTATACCTTCTCTGTCTGCTGGGATGCAATGAACAGTGTGGGTTTTTTTTTTTTTTTTAACATTTGGATGTGATTTATTTTCACTGTCGACGTGAAGTCATTTAACTTTGGTTCTGCATGTATCAGCTACATTCTGTGACTTACAGACCAGTAGGCTGTGAATGATGCAAATTGTGCATAATAAAAAAAGTCATCTCGTATAGTCTTCTAGCAGTGAGGGTTTTTTTTTCTGTCTTTAGAGAAATGTGTAGAAGTCATGCATGTGACAATAGCTCACCCTGCCATGGGCATTGCATTCCCAGCAGTACTAAACATTAGCTTCCTGTTTATTCCTCTAAAAATATAAAGCTCTGTGCCCTTAGGTCCAGGCCCTATGTCTTCATAGCTGTAGCTTTCTCCTAGCTAACTCATCTTTCTTGTAGGGCAGCACTAGAAGTTAAATGCCAGGCTGACTCAGAATGGGATCAATCTGTTAGAAGAGCAGTGGCAGCATCGCTCACTAAGTCTGGCAACCCTCTATTCTGGCTGCATCTGCTGAAGGAAGCCAGTAATGAGACAATGGAACAGGCTGCCCAAGGAGGCTGTGGATGCCCCATCCCTGGAGGCATTCAAGGCCAGGCTGGATGTGGCTCTGTGCAGCCTGGTCTGCTGGTTGGCAACCCTGCACACAGCAAGGAGTTGAAGCTAGATGATCATTGTGGTCCTTTTCAACCCAGACCATTCTGTGATTCTGGTTTTCTCAATTCTCTTGAGGGATGCTGTAGCCTTGAGAAGGAAACTTAATGAGAAAGTTGGAGAGAAGGAATATGGGGAAGAAATAAGAAAACCAAACCTTGTTCATAATGATATGAAGCATTGTGCAAATGACACAGATGTCTCTTTCCTACCCCTTCTTAGTTTAAAGCCGTTCTAATCGTATCACTATACTCCCTGACAAAGAACCCCTCTCCAGTTTTCCTGTAGGCCTCCTTCTGGTATGGAAAGTTTAAAAAAAAAGTCTCCCAAGAACCTTTTCTTCTCCAGGCTAAGCAAGCCTGGAAGCAGGAAGAGTGCAGCACAGAAAAGATGAATTTACAGGGCATGACTGGATGTACCATTCACTCTCTGAGTGATTCTACTGAGAACAGAGCCTCTTTTTGCTAGTCACTGTAAAAGTAAGTGGCTAAAGAGCACCTGATTAGCAGGTAGTTTTAAAGATGAACTGCTGCATCTTTCTGGTTACAGTGTTAAAGGCTGCTTCTAAATGAAGGTGAGGAGTCAGTGCTATGAGCACCTTTGTGATACCTCATCTCACCTCTCCTTGTTTCTTTTCAGAGTTTGTTCATCTGTGCTTGGGTGCTGAGATATGATATAAAAGTACAGGAGTAGGAAATGATTTTTCTTTTGTAAGCTGTCCTAATTCGTAATTGTTATATGCCTTCTAACTACCAGTCTGATCTGCCTTTGTGTTTTGTTCTTGAAACATTTCTCATGCTTTAATGTTCTGTGAGATGTTTTTTTTCCCCAGCTTGCTGCAAACTCTATGTAGTCCATGTGTGTGCATTATAGAAACTTTTCATCTGGAATACAAGGTATATTTTTAATACTGCTGTCTCTCCAAACTGCTTGTAAGACTTATGGGTTGGTGATATTTTTTCATTCTGTTTTTTGACCCTTTGACACTTTTGAGAAAATGGCTGCTAAATGCATATTTTAGCAGCAGATCTTTTGGCTCCTACAAAACTGCTGAGATGTTCCTTGGGGGCGCCTGTGATGATTTTCCCAGTCCAGAGCTGTGGACTGTGTATGTGGGTGTCTTGTACTCCTACACTAGGGATGACTTCCATTTTCTTTCATTGAAGCACACAAGAATTGCCTTTATGTTTTGTTTAAAGTGTTCTTGAATGAATTCAAAGACAACTTTGAATGTGAACACTTAAAGCTAACTCAAAATATCAGAAGTTAGGGATTTTTTTAGACTGGAGAAAAATGTTCCTTATTAAAATGTAAGCTCAGTTTGCTGATTACTTTAATCTATGCCTTAAGCAGCGATCAGATCAGAGTGTTTTTGATGTCCAAATTCTGCCCTAATGCTTTTGATTGTCACTGTTTGCAGTCGAGCAAATGTGTCACTGCAGATACGACACAGTGTGTCCACAATATCAGTTGTGACCACTGAAGATGCTTCAATTAATGGCTGTCTAAAACCTTACATTACAAAAGAAAACTTACCAGGAATAATGACATAGATTAACATATAACTTATATGAGAAGCTTAGTGTGAATCTAAATCACTAAACCAATAATTTACTTGTTCATTTTTGTATAGCAAAACATTTGAGTGAGCTTTTCACCCTTATGAACGGCAATGTAAGTAAATCATTTGGTGTCTACTGGACACACAGCTTTGTCACGCCTTGTTTTTCCCCAGTCCTTTTACTGGTAGTCCTGTTTCCTTGTCTGCTCAGCTCAGGATCTGATACCCATAAAGAGGTGTCTCATTTGGAATTCTTACTGCTTGCTAAACCACAGATCTAATAGTCTCCTCTGCTTCTCAGTCCTGCTTTGTTCCCCATGTGTGTGTCACCTGTTCCTGAGCTGTTGTACTGATTGAAAGCACGACATTAAGCGTAAGGTTAGGGAGGGTTGGAGATGTTATTTCTAACTAACACAATTATAAGTTAATGCTAAACCAGTCAGTAGCACAAAGAATCACTGTCATTAGTGTGAAGCAAATCTAATCTGCAGTGCTGTGTTTTGGCAACTACAGTCTGCCCTTTCAAGGACCTGTTAGGCTATGTTTGTCAAGGAGGAAGTACTGCTCCACTGAGGATCTGTCCTTAGGTATTTTATCTACAGAATGTTATCTAATACTCTAGAACTTCAATCATGAGCCTGGATAAAATATGTTTGCTTTTCGTTCTGCGAAACAAACTGCAACCATGTAGGAGTCTTAAGCTACAACGTTGGTTTGGTGACTGAACACTGCTCTTCACATGAGAGATGGTGAATCCAACCAACCTGTCAAAAGTAACTGGTGAAAAGGCTTGATCTGCAGGCCCTGGCTATTGTATACCTTTCTGTCCACAAGACTATGAGCTTTTCTAGAGGCCAATAACTAAGTCCCTTTGTTATGCTGCAGTAACAAAGGAACGCTCAATTGTTATTTAACTTGGGAATGCAGCCACAAATCTGGATCTCATTAGCCTCAGAAAACATGTGGTGAAAAAAATGATAATTTTCAGTGAGAGAACATGGTTGCTGCAAAGTAACTACTCTGCTCTGTCTGCTAGGAGTGAGGTTGGAATGTGAGGGCTGAGGAGTCACCAGGGCATCCTTAGTGCCATTGATATCAGTGACGCTGGAGACAGGGCAGATGTGAATAGGGCACTATATTGTCCTTGGTGAGGAAATAAGGCAACGCTCGTCCTGCTGCTGAGCTTAAAGGGGCCCTTAACAACGGGTGTCTTTGATACATAAAATACACTCCTGTGTAGAGCAGTTGGCATTCTGCTGCTATTGCATTTCTTTCTGTTTCTGGATCATATGTGGCTGCATGTGGGTGAACTTTCTAGGCTCCAAGTGAGCTCTAATGTAAACTGTGACTTTGCTAGCAACAAAGATTCAACAGGTCCAGTTGTCTTGGTGAACACTATTCTTAACTAGGTGGCTGTGTAATTGGATGCTTTTGTTGATGAAATACAGGAGGCATCTACTCTAGTGCTTCCTTCTTTAACCTCCCTCCCTCTCCCCCCCCAACATGACAGCAAAGCTGGCGGGAGTGGAGAAGAAAGTGGGTGGCAGACAGGCACTGCTTCAGGGAAGCAGATTTGCAGTCACTACAGTACCCATTAACCTGAAGAGCACCTTGACTACTCCTGGACTCCCTTGATTCTCCCTGAAAAAGTATTTCACCTAATTCACCTACTAATCTCATCCTGTGCCTATTGTTGCTGGAGAAGAAAAGGGAGAACATCGCTTTGAACTTCAGTAATGCTGCATGAGAAGTATTGACTCATAACTTTATTTACTATGATATATTCAAGATATGAAACAATCCCTGCTTGGTGCAGCTGGCACCATAGAGCACAGCACCTACTGGCAGTCTGGCTGGCTTTTCTTTGTAGAGCATCTTGTTTTGCACAGCTTCTCTGATGCTGACAAAAGCAGCAATGCCTGTGAGGCTTTACTGGGGCCTGGGGCTGAGCTGCCATTTTTGCAGTTGGAGGTGTAAGCGGAGAAGTAGTTCATTCGACAGAGCTCTGCTCGGCTCTTACAGCAACCTAGCTTGCTCATCAGCAGGAAGAAATCTCTTTGGAATGCTTTAGTGAAAATTGCATACAGAAATGGGTTTGCGCAGGAATTGACTGGGTAAAATAAAACCAGCAGAATCTTGGAGTTTGTCACTGTGATGAGAGGCACCTTAAAGGCAGCAGATATGGCAAAGAAGGAGATGGGGGCCATGCAGGTAAAATCGGTGAAGATCAGTACGGCCATTCTCTTGGCAATCTTGGTATCCTTATTGGCAGCTATCAGCTCAGGGTTCTGCACAGCGATGTATATCTTGATGTAACAAGCACAAATGACAATGAAGGCTACAACGTTGAGCACTAAGATCAGCAATATGTAGGCTTGGGAAAGCCCTGTTTCAATGTCCATGGGCAAGCAGATGCTGACCTTCATGTAGCTGCTGACCCCCAGCAGCGGCAGCACTGCTATCAGGATGGAGAACACCCAGCCACCAAGCATGATGGGCACGGCGTGCCGCAGCCGTAGCTTTCGGTCCAGCTGCATGGCGTAGGTGATGGTATGCCACCTTTCTATGGTGATCACTGTTAGCGTGTACACAGAGAGCTCACTTGCAAACACAGTGAAAAAGCCAGCAGTGCTGCAGCCGCTGCCTGTTTGCCAGTCTATGGCGTGGTTGTAGTACTGCCCGCTTGTCTGAGCGTCCACTGAAGCAATGAGCAGCAAGTAAAGCCCCATGCAAAAATCAGCAAAGGAGAGGTTGCACATGAGGAAGCGAGGAACCGTGAGCTTGTAGTGGCTGGTTATGAGGACGAGGAGCACAGTGAAGTTGCCAGCGATGGCGAGGATGTTTATGAACCAGATCAGGACCCTGAGAAAGCTGTATCCTAGGATGTCTTCACAGGGGTTAAAAGCATCTGGTTCTGGAGTACACGTCAGTATCTTGGGCTGACAGAAGTCATACTCAAAGTCAAAGCCAGTCATTTCATCCTCATAAAAAACAGTTGAGTAGCTGTAAGGAAAGGCTTCTTCACCTGTTTCAAGTGGGTACGTGTGCTTTTCTGCTGGCCACAGCGATGTGTTGAAAGAAGCATCTCTGTAACTATTAAAATAACAACCCACCCAAATAGAAGTGAGCTATTTGTTCCATGTTGCTTTGCACTCTTTATAAGATACAACAGATGACAGTTGTTTTAAAACACTTTCTATATTAGTTTCTACTGAGTGTTTCAAAGCCCTTGTAAGGATGCTTTTTTGCTGGGATAGCAAACTTGGGTTGAGGTTACATCCACAGAAATGCTTTCTTACCCAGCTTACCTCTTTGTAAGCACTTTATCTTGACTGCTTTGTAATTGAGCCATCTTTCTCAGTATGCCAGTAGACTGCAGTTCAAATCATGGTAGTACTTGAATGGATGGATCATAGATTTTATGCGTATGGGTTTATCAGATTGTTATAGAAGCTAAAATAACTGAAGAATTTTGGTTCTGCTCCCTTGCTTCCCCTAGGAAACACTCAACAAAGTCCTGAGACTACAAGTGGCTTGAAAAGCACTGAGAAATTTGATTGCAGTGTTATAAAGTGAGGAGGGCATCGTTAACTAGATAGAGTATGGCAACAGCTAGGAATACATGAAATTTAGACTGGAAAAATGCCTAACTATAAATGTTTCAGGTATTCTAAAGTGATCTCTAATCTCCAGGTGATCTGTAAACCTATCAAAGTGTCAATAAGCCTATCACAGAAGAAACATTTTAAAAGCAAGTGCTGTTCCCTCTGATTCCCTGCCAGAATAGCTACCGATATCACAGTTATCCCAGCTGTGAGTGTTTGGTGGGCAAACACTCAAGTCTTCCATGGGATGTTTTCCAGGTCTCACTATTGAGGACAGTGGTGTAGAAAACTCATAGGTTTATGACAACTGAAATACATTCTTAACCTTCTGCATTTCTTGAAGTCCATACATTAATCTCTTTCTTTCTGGAGCAGGTTTGTAACTGGCAGATAAAGCTGGGCTGCTTTTCAGCTATTCTTATTAGGTAAATACCTTGCCAATCTTATTACCTTAAACTGTTCTTTCAGTGGAAAAACTGCCTCATGTCTTGCTTTTACTTGTCTGGCTTAAACTGGAAGAGCAGAGAATATGTTTTAATTATTAATTAAAAACAGTTGTGATTTTTCTGAGAGGCCATGTAAACATGCTACCATGTGCAAGCTTTCCTTGTAATAAGAACTCTGGGTTTTCAACGAGTTTCTGTTGTGGTTCCTAAGCTTTAGAATTTACAGCCTTTTAGCCTAAGAATCGTAACCCTGTGTTCATCTAGATCCCAATGAATCAATCACATTCCAGCTGTGTTGCTTGTGTTGGCATTTTGTTTTGCAAGACTTTGTGATGATCTGACTTAATGTCATGGTTAAAGAGAAGCCCCCAGGTCTCCCATTTAGCAGGGGATGTGTGAATATTTGCGAATCCTTCAACTCATCCATGAAATAGTGTTTGCAGGGCTTGTGATATCCAACACTGCTCACCCACCAGTTTTGATATCAGACTTTTTCACTGTCCCACTGGATGCAGGTCATACAGAACTGCAGGATGATATGAAAAGATCCCTCAGAAGAGGTATGCAAACTGTGTGGGCTGACCAAACTTCTAACTCGGGAATTCTCTTTGTGCCATTTTCTGTCAGCACAAATGATGATATTGCAGCCTTCTAATTATTTGATCTGTAGGCAAAACATTAACAATGGCAGCTCTTTCATTCAGTCAGACTCCTGCAATTGTCTTTGAAAACTCTCCAGGTAGCCCTTAAGTTTGTTAAATATGTAATCACTGTTTTGAAAGCACTTCCAGAATTTAGAAGAGAAGCTGTAGTGAGGGAAGCCCATGGAAGGGTGGTTTTTTTTCCTTTTTGAACATAAAAATCACAAATCTTGGTTTAGTGATAGTAAAATTACCACTGTGCAACTTGTAAGGTGACTGAATTAACAAAAAAAGAAAGCATGGTATTTTGGAAATAGCATACAAGTAGCAAGAGTGGAGTCCATATTTGCTATTTCCAGCTTCTGTATGTGGTACTTACTATATTTCACTAGTTGTTTTCCTCACTGTGCTTTCACACTGTTTGGAGAAGTTGTCAAAAATGGAAAGCAAGGAATTTTGCCTGAAATAAGAAGGAAGAGAAAGTTGAGTTTCAGTCTTGATTTTGGCATTAAGCATTCGTAATGCTTATCGATAATGGAATGGCAACAGAAGTTGCTATAGCATGCTTTTTTTCCACCCACGTTTGTCCAGTGCTACCTTCCATCTCTCTTACATGGCTCATGACACTCAAATCTCAAGAATATTTGGTTTGAAGACTTTATTTGCTTTAAGTCTGATACTTACCTGGTCAGATAGACATAAGACCTTGCCACCATGTTTCACTGATCATCTGGTGGAGTTTATAGGTGGTAAGGAAGCGGATGTAAGGAGGGAGGGGAAGTAAAAAAAACAGAAAATATATGGGGGAGGGTGATGGAGTTCAAGGGGGTACAAGGAGACAGCAATAGAAATACTTGACTGTAGGGTCTTTCCTTAACTCCTTGCAGAAGTAGGAACCACTTATTAAGATGAAGAGAAAGCATATAAATCATCACCGCCTATTCTATCCTGAAGGATGGGATTATATTCCTGCCTTGCAGCGCAGTCCTGATGTGGTGGTATGCAAGTCATGTTGGTCAGGCATCCCACAAACTGCTGCTTAGTACATCTTTTCTGTAGGCTTCATCCGGGGTAGGTGAGAATTGTGGAATCTTCGTAACTTCAACTAAACTCTTTAGGATTTGCTTTGGCTGACTGCAGCCAACTGAGAGTCGAAGGAAAGATGCTGAGAAATTAGCTCCGGCTATCCCATATTGACTTATACAAATCAGTGGATGGGAAGTGCTCTGTGTGTCAGTTTCCAATTGTGAATTGTGGAGAATAACTCTGTCTACTATCATCTGAAAGGTACTCAGCTGAGTAACCCAGCTACAAGGTCATCATAGCACTTGCATTAAATATGCTGCATAACTAAACTTGCAAGTTTTGTTTTGTTTTTTAGGACAAAGTGCTATTGATGTAAATATACCTTCCATGTTCTGGAAAGATATTTTATCCAGACTGCTATTTTACTGAGATATCAAGAAAAATATAAGCTTTCAGCAAACTTAGAATAACATCTCAGCTGGCTGATTCTAGACCCAGGATGTGAGAAATTTCTCTTCCCATACGAGTGGAAATACCTGTCCTGGATTCAGTAGAAATCTGTTATTTGGAGTGAGGTTTTGCTGCATTCCACAGTTTCCCCTGAAAGAAAGGTAAGTCAACTCAACCAGGACAGGCTAGCTGAACAGAGTAGAACTGCTGCTTTAGAGTTTCTGAAGTCCTACAATACAACAGCATGCCGTTTGGACTTACTTTTCTGTCCTCAGGTTTTGAAAAGCACAGCAGTGGCTGGGGTAGGTCAGAACGGCTTCCAGCAGACTGCTGAATTTATCCAGAGGTGGCAGTCTCTTCAATGAGTATGATGACACTGCGTTGAGGACCTGGATGGCCTCCAGCCCATAGCTAGGCAGGGACTCCAGTGCCGTCGAAGAAATGTCCCTGGAAAACCAAGAGTGCTTTCATTTCTTTTCATACAGATATAAGCCTCACCAAAGCATGAAGATAGATTGCAATGACTTTTTTTTTTTTTTTTTTTTTTTTTTTTTTTAAATGAAGGTCTACATCTACAAATCCACCCAGTATCCAGCTCAGAGATGTACTCTACGATGATGCAGAGTCCTTCCCTGCAACCCAGGAGCCTCAGACAGGCTAGGAGCCAGTTTTAGCATGGTGGAAATCACAACCCACTGTGTTGGGATTCATTCTAGGTGTTTCAACTAATGCATTAATTGAATATTTTATCAAATGTTTTATCAAAATCTGCAGTAGAATCCACTGTTCTTGCCAGGACCAACTTCAGTACTTTGGCTTAGAGTAACTTTAGGAAAGGCCATGTATAGGACCGATATGTTTCCATTTTACACGAAGGTGGTAGCAGATGAAGCATGCTGCCCACTAGCATTACACAGTTCATACAGGATGTCTATAAAACCAGGTAAAGAGTAGTTTGATGCTTACAGGACATCTGGCCCGATGGCCCCTCTCAGGGCATCATTGTGTATCCGCCTCAGGTTTTTGTTGTCCTTCAGAATCCTGTGGGGTCAAACATCAAGTCTTTACCTCTGCCTCTTGAAATACCTCCTTCCAATCTATCTCCACTCAAGCTTCCTCCCATTGCAGTGAGATTGTTCCAGCACCTGGTCTGAGATAGCTAGTATTTCTTATGCCACTCCTTCCTCCATTGATGTCATCAGGCTGCTAGCATCTACTTTTAATTCTGGTTGTTTCCAATTTCTTCTGATTTAAACAAGGAACAGCAACTCTGGTTCCTTTGCAGCAGGACCCGTGTACAGAAATGCAGCAAAGGTTTTGCCAAACTACAGGGCCCAGAGCATGCATGACTGATTTAGAAACTGCTGACACATCCCAATGTAAAATGCAGTTTCCTGAATTTGCTCTACATGTTTATGCTTTCCACCCTGCTGCTGACTTTAGGAGTGTATTGTCTGGGCCCTGCTTTTACCATGAAAGGTTGGACCAGGTGATCCTGAGGTCTCTGATCTTGTCTATGGTTCTATACAACGTACTCACAATTGATTTAGCTTGGTCCCATTGAAGGCATGGCTGTGGATATCTTCAAATCCATTTTTATAGAGTTTGCTGCAGATTAACAACAATGCATAAGGAAAAAAAAAATCAAGAAAAGGTGAGATTGTTATTTTACTACAAGTTTTAAATCTCAATGCTGTACTCAATTATTATATTGTTTGGTTTATAAAGAACATTGATACCCATAGATAGTATAGCAGACATTAGCTCATAAATTATAAAATTGAAGCTTAAATTCCCTAAGCACCTTCATGTTTAGTTTTACTTTCCTTCATTAAGCTATCTAACTTAGGGGTGTGATGTCACGGAGAAAGAAAGTGTTGTGATATAGGTTAATGTTTCCAGTATCACTTGTATATAATCATTTACATATTATGTCCTTTAATATTAAGCCCTAACATAAAATTTGGTGCCTTTTGTGGAGGACTCTTTATCTCTCCAAGTTTTACTATTCATTTTCCATTTGTTTTTGGGACATCAGAAACGGGCTGTGAACCTGCTCCTGAGAAAAGCTGGGCGATGTCTGGCTACATTTGATCTGAGCCCATGTTGGCACAATGCTGAAATTAGTGATTTCCTTGAAAAACACAGCCACGTTTAGTATTGATCCCCATCCTCACAAAGCACGAACAGCCTGAATTAGCTGTTTGAAATGCAAAGTATCAGCACAGGCTGAATTTACGCCCTCACAAATTACTTGTGTTTCACCAAACCATGCTGTAACAATTCCAATTATTTCAGCTAATTGCAGTTAATTCCATGGGGTGGAGTTACAATGTTGCTCTGCAATTAGGAAGCTGCTGATAAGGTAATTCTTTTCTCTCCCATCACAAAAGGATAGGAGAAAAGCTGTTGTTGGTTGTTTCCTGACTGTGAGTTAGACTCTGTTCCATTTCATAGTTTAGGAATGCAATAAAAAATTTCTGGCACGTTCATTTTTTTTTTGCACTGTTCACAGGATCATAATTTTGCTGAAGTTATTTTGTGAATTGGTTGGTAGGAAGAAGGCTCATAAGATGAAATGATGCTGTAAGCTAAGCCATTGCTTCCCTTTAACACTGCGTGGTGGTTGGTTTTGGTCATGTTTACGTATAGCTGCCCTATCAGTTTCTGAATACACCAAATCTGTGTTGAAGATTTGAAGGCTGTAACCCAGCCAGCTGCAGTACCTGCTCATGCAAAGCCAAGTCCATTTGCATACATGAATATTCATGGAGTGTTGCACAGAAGTTTGGCTTTATGTGCTTGTAGAGCTGTGTTTGTGCTGCATAGCCAGAGATGGGGCTGCTGCTGCCATCTATGGAGGTGTTCAAGAAATGTGTGTGGTACCAAGGGAAGTGGTTTAGTGGGGAAATATTGGTGGTAGGTAGGCAGTTGGACTGGATGATCTTGGAGGTCTTTTCCAGCCTTAGTGATTCTATGATTCTGGCCCTCCTTGGGTGGAGCATCTCACCTGGCACTTAACCCACTCATCTCACAGGCAGCTGTAGCGTGCTAGGAGGAAAGTCTTGGTATGAAGACAGTACAACATATGGGGCTTAATTTCAAGATCCTTTTCCAAGTGAGGCTGCTCTGCTGGAACAACAGTATTGCCCTCACAGAAGGAGCTGGGACTGCTTTACTCACAGCGTCAGCGATTCATTGCTCATCCCCTGGAAGGCGTTTTGTGGTATGGTTGTCATGCGCAGGTTGTCACACAGCTCCCTTTGGGCGGGAAAAAGAAGTTACCTGCCAGAGGTACAGGAGCAAGATGGGATGATTCACAGCTGGGCGGGGGTGGGCCTTCACTTACAAAATAAAATGAGCTTCTGAGGAGAAGATCTGAGTCAAGTCTGGGAATTCTATTATTCCGGTGTTACAGATGCTCCTAGAGGAAAGCACAATTTACAGGAGGGAAGGTTACCAGGCTGGTTGCAAGGAGAGGCCAACCCCAAAGGTACGAATGTAACAGTATGTTAAAATGAATGGTAAACATCATTTTTAATTAGTTCTAACAGTGCTTTTAAGATCTGTGAAAACCACATATAGCATTCTCAAGCAGCATCCTGGAGAAGCAACATATTTCCACATTAAGAGCACAAAAGATGTCTTAGTTACCCCTTTTGTATCTCATCAAAATGAAAGTTTACTCTAATAAGCACTTAACAGAGCTCATTAGCAGACTTTGCTATTGTTTTATCCATTGCTGATCTGCCTTACTTTGGTTTATTTTCTTGCCTTTTAAAAGACTTTACTGGTGGTAAACTGCATATTAAGGCTATTTTAGATGATGTATGAGCTTCTGGTGTGCTGCAATTTGTGAAGAACTTCTTTACCTTATAATTTTTTTCTGTGATTTGTCCACTTCTTCATAGAAAGAGAAAAAGATAAAAAAGAAATGAAATACTTTCTTACAGATATCTTAGCCTTGGAAGGTTTCTGAATGCTCCGTCCTCAATGTGCAAAAGATTTTTTGTGTTCAGGATTAATCTGTAATGAGGGAAAGATATGCAAGTGTTATAACTGTTACATACTTGGAAGGACCTGATGGTTGACCTTGCTGGAGAACTGCCATGTGTGGAATGTGACGGAAGGCTCTCAGGATGTGAGCACACATTCTAGAAATGCACTACAAATGCACTAATAATAATAATGAAAGGTTATAATGGCTAGGTAGCCAGGAAAAAAAAAAAGCCAACAAAACCCAACGGTGTCCTGAGTTTGCATGGCTCACTGCATGAGTTTTCTTGGTTTGGATATCCTGGTCTTGGTGTGGGTTGGTGTTCTGTTGCTTCTTTGGGATCCATGCTGGACTTGCAGCAAGCTACCGAGAAAGGTTCTGCTTTACCACTGGCATTCTACACGCAGTCAAATGACCTACCAAATTCAGGCCAACCCAGTATTAAGACCTATTGGACTGGATTGTTATGAGGTACAATTTAGGGCAGGTGTTTTAGGAGGAGCCTCACTAGATATGAATACAGCTTGGGACTAGGTGGGAATGCAGGACTTCATTACTTACCTGATGGCCAAATGCACTGACTGCTGTTTTTTAACTTACTCTTCTATATCTACATACACAATGAGATATCATTAGCATTAATAACCTGAGTCTCCAGGCTGCCAAAGATAAGCAAACACTAACTGAGCAGCTGTGAGGTCGCTTAGCATATGAATTTGCAAGGAGAGTTCAAAGCCAAGAGCTTCACTGAGCACACTGCTCCTGCTCTTCCAATGAAAGTGGCCTTGACTGCAGCTTGGAACAACAAGCCCTCGCAGTGTGAGACCTGTAGAGTGTTCAAGATTCACACAGGTTTTCCTGCTACTCTCCTGCAGCTCTGTAGTAGTCTTTCTTAGCTTTTTTGTTTTGGCAGACAGGCAGTTGATGAGCTATGCATAATTTGTAGGTGAATGCATCAGCTCAATCTTTATTTCTTACTGAAACCCACCACTGATTCTAGTGGAAATCTGACCCAGAAGGGGGGTGGACAAATCTGTCTCCTGCTTCTTTGAGCAAGTATCTTGCTCTGATGGAATTCACGTAAGTGGGGGGAAAAAAATCCCATGAATTTGTCCTTGCTCAGTTGCACTGTAGTTAAAATACTCACTGATCATGCTGTGGGGAAGAACGCGGTGATGAGGTGTTGAATCAAATTTATAGTTCCCAATTTCACTAAATATTTCAGAGCATTCTCCTAGCAAATGCTTTAAATCACATGCTCTCTCAGACGCCTGTGCTAGGCAGGTCAAGTTTAAAATTAGTACATGTTCTATTCGAGTAATATTTCAGTGCTCGAAAGAAGAGCTGCATACTAAGCATATTCAAATACTTGGTTTTGAAAACTGCATCTACAAAGAGGAAGATTTTTTTTCTTGCTGACTGATTTCTCTGCTTAGAAAGCTCAGCACTGTGGTAGTAAGCGCAGAGCTCCAGTCGTGTCATTGAGCTACTGAAAGGAACTGGGCTTGATATACCTAGATGTCTTTGCATGATTCACATCTCCAAGGCTAGAGTCTGCATAGAGTTGTTACTTTATACAGCAGTTTGGACAGAAATGTTAGTCAGAATAGATCTCATCCAAAGCCAATCAAAGTAACATAGGAAGATTTGGCCTAGGGATACTCTTCTGTTGACTACTCCTTGATGATCCTATATCACAAGGTGGATGCCTTTTTTCCACCACGGCTTACATTTCGGACAAAGCGGGAAGGCTGTCGAATGCACTTGCTTCTATTCTCTCTAGGGAGTCACTCTGAGAGATTTCACTGTAATGAAAAAGACAGACACAAAGCAATACGTTAACAGAGGAGATATCAGAAACCAAGTTTCTACTTACATTTGTTTCTTTTATATGTGGCTATTTAAGCCTCCAATCAATTTTTGTTGTGCAGCATTGTCCTTGCCTTGCCTCCAAACTCTAAGCCAGTAAGATTCGAGAAAGTGCAGTGTTTTGCTACCTTGCAAAAGGTTATGGCAACCATCTGGAGTAATGATCTCCAGAGCAGCCAATCTCCACTTTCTCAGTAGACTGTAGATAAGGTAGTGACTGAGGGCTGAATGCAAAAGGAGTCAGCTCAAGTCTATGAGCCTTTTGGTCCCACTAAATGTATTTGTTTGCATGGACAAGGAACAGGTTATGAACCCATGCATAACGTATGAAACCCATATGAAGTTGTGATGGTCATTTAATGCACACATGTACAGACACACAAATATACAGACACACTTCATGAATAATTGTTGGATTTAAATGCTGTTTTCATTACATTGTGGAAAGTTATGGAAGTGGCTCTTTTCCATCATTACATGGATCAACATTTTGATTGTTTTCATAGGCGTTCCATGATTTTCACATACTAATGCTCCTATTCTACACACACAGTTAAGAATGTTGCATACAGAGAAAAAAAGTCACTTTGGTGATGCCTGCCAAGTGCCTGCTAGATTAAGTTTCAAAGAGTGGCACAAAATTGACTCCTGAAAGTAAATAGTATATATTAATGCATAGAGAGGGGAAAGGTCTTCAGAACAGCATTTTCTCTTGACAGAATTGACTGGAACAGCACAGAAACTGTACTGAAGATTATACCCTGTCAGTAAAGCATAAATACTTTTTCTAAACAACTGGAACATGCTCATAGAACTCGAGTCACTGTTGTCACAGCTCTGAAAGTTATCTTATTTGAAGTGTGATTACAATAAAACAATTCCTACAGCTGTTAATATAAAAAAACCTTAGACCACAGTGACCTTTTTTTATTTAAAGTGGCAGAGGGGAACGCATGCCAAAAACTATACATTCAGTGCATTTCCTACAGAAATGCTCATGATTTTCTCCATCATCAGAATTCGGTGAGATAGCTATTTTTTTGATAGTGCAATGGTTATTCATGAATAAAAGATGGATGCAGGTCAAATGGTCTCTTGATGGCCTGATCCAAAGAGGCGCAGGGCTTAGCTGCGTGCACTGGGTTGGATCAGGGACTACTTGTAGGACTTGAAATAAAAGACTCTTTCAGGACCAGGCTCTGAATTATGAGACCCCAGATCTCATGGTTCTTCCCTGAGATCCTTCCTACTCTCCACTGGCTTCCCATTTACGAAATCACAGAGTTGTAGAAGTTGGAAGGGACCTCCAGAGATCATCGAGTCCAACCCCCCTGCCAAAGCAGGTTCCCCACACCAGGTGACACAAGTAGGTGTCCAGGTGGGTCTCGAACATCTCCAGAGAAGGAGACTCCACCACCTCCCTGGGCAGCCTGTTCCAGTGCTCCGTCACCTCACCGTAAAGTTCTTGAGCACATTTGTGCGGAACTTCCTATGCTGCAGTTTCCAGCCGTTTCCCCTTGTCCTGTCTCCACTCACCACTGAAAACAGTCTGGCCTCGCCATTCTGCCCCCCACACCTTAGATATTTATAGACCTGGATCAGGTCCCCTCTCAGTCTCCTTTTCTCAAGGCTGAACAGACCCAGTTCACTCAGCCTTTCCTCATAGGAGAGATGCTCCAGGCCCTTCACCATCTTTGTGGCCCTCCGCTGGACTCCTTCCAAGAGATCCCTGTCTGTTTTGCACTGGGGAGCCCAGAACTGGACACAGTACTCCAGATGAGGCCTTACCAGGGCAGAGTAGAGGGGGAGGATCACCTCCCTCGACCTGCTGGCCACGCTTTTTTTAATGCACCCCAGGATGCCATTGGCCCTCTTGGCCACAAGGGCACACTGCTGGCTCATGGCCAACCTGTCATCCACCAGGACACCCAGGTCCCTCTCTGCAGAGCTCCCCTCCAGCAGGTCATCTCCCAACCTGTACCGCTGCATGCAATTATTCCTCCCCAGATGCAAGACTCTACACTTGCTTTTGTTAAACCTCATCTGGTTTCTTACTGCCCAGCCCTCCAGCCTGTCCAGGTCATTTACATATGTCTAAAAGAGTTATGACTGTGACAATAATTTATCATTTGATTTGCAGTTGGTGATGAGTTGCCAAATTGATGATTTAGAGATTTTCAATTTAAAAATATGCATTTTTCTAAGTAACACTGAATCTCAATAAAACCGTGTAGTACTCTATAGATTTACATCAGACAAACACATTGATTTCTATGCTGTTAATTTGGAGAGATGTATTAAAAGGACACAAAGAAGTCAATTCTCTTATGGAAGAGAAAAATGTCAATGAACAAAACAGCCTCTGTGAGGAATGGGTTATGCATGCAATTTGGGAAAAATTAGCAGCAAATCATATAGGTAGGAGTCAGTCATTAGATTTAAGTTGATCTCCCATCTAAAAATGCTAAGTGCTTATTACTCATTAAGATGCAAGTGAATGCAAGATGCAGTGCCATTAGCTCAAACTGTAACACTCTGTTCTAGTTGAACAGACATGGACATAGTTTAGGTTTAGTTTTTCTTCTCATTAGAGCTGCAGAAACACAAAAGTTTATAATTTGGCTGAAATTGTTTAACCAGTGAGCACTAAAAGTGAAACGAGTCCAACTGAGAATTTAGGTATTTGCGTCACCCTTATCCTTCAATTCTTTGTCTTCGTGAATGCATTGTGAAAGGGTTTCCTAGATTATCTTTTTGTCTTCTGGAAAATAGATGTTGTAACATCTAATGTGTGTTTTAATATCTGATATACCATAGTTTTTACAGATGAAGAAGACAACTCTAAAACGTGTACCTAGAATAGTAAGTGGCATTATCTGTACTGCTGCTTTTAGTTACTGGGGGAATTGCTTCTGAATTGCACAGGTGTGTCATGGGCTTTGCCTTTCACTGAAGACTTCATACAGATAAAACAAAAAGTAGTGGACAATCAAACTTGCCATCTTTTAGTTGGAATAATGAGGGAAATAAGGGTGGGACTGATCAGCCCAAACTTCTGGTAGAGCCCTTGCTATAAAACTGATGCAAAGTTAAGCAATGAGCAGCAATGCCAAACTAATGTACAAAGTTGCCATGCTTGTAAATGGTAATAGCCAAGAAAGGGTTCAGTCCTACAGATCCTCTTCCATGCTTACCTCTCAGTGCAAAACAGCAAAAAAAAAAAGTCTTATTTGAGTACTACAGAACTGTATAATCACAGAATACCACAGCTATCATTGCAGAGATAACATTTTATGATAGCTTTCTACCTCCTTTGCCAGTCAAAAATGCCTTTCATCAGTTATCGAGCTGTATCCAGTTCTCTGCAATGTGATTAATGTTTCATTACATGATCTGTTAAACCCCTGTCAAAAAGCGATACCTTCTCAAATCATGTTTTAAAGATTGTTGATGAGAGATGACTGGTATATAGGAACAGCTTATCCTTTCCTAAAGTGTGTGGGTAGCTTTTTTCTTTTCTATGAATGCATTTTTTAGCAGCACTTTTTTTTTTTAACAATAATGCAAATAGAGACTTTCGTTTTTGTTTTGTTAAAACTTCTAGCAAGACATTATAAAGAGCCTATGGAAAATGTTGCCAACTTACATGATGAAGGCATCTCGAAGTCCTTCGAATGCGTGTGATGGGATCACTTTCACAGGAAGGTGAGTGAACGACCTGAGAAAGGAGCAGAAGGAGGTTTTAAGGCAGGGGATTTCCTTGTTTACAGCCTGTGCACAATAAGGCGTAGGGCCCCTTTATTTTGCCTGCAGATCTTCGTACGTCTGGGGCCTGATCCATCTACCATTGATCCTAGTGAAACAAATTTGAGGGCTACTGGCTCAGTTCTTTAATAGCACAAATTTGAGATGAATACGGTCAAATCAATAATAATCATAAACTATTAAACAAATGCATAACCTGATGGAAATGGGCTGCTATATTCACAGTCAAGTGAAGCTACAGGCTATTTAAGGTTATTTCCTTTGGAATAAGTGGCTTTCACATAAGGCTGTACAACATTTGTTTCAGGTCTCAGGCTGTGTGCAACTGCTAAAGGAGATCTGAGTTCAGCCTGATGTTTTAATTATTTATATTAAATTGCAGCAGACTGATTTGCCAGTTAAAAGCAAGTGTGTGTTTCCCTTTTTAATTCTTTAATTACACTCACTGAGATGTTAATGGTCCTGCGGGAGACAGATCTGCATTTTACCATCCTGCTCTGCATCTGAACTATGGTGCCAATTCATACAGCCATGGCCGTGCCCTCCCTGATAATAGTCACAGGAAAATATTTAACATACTTCAGGACATTATCTCTGTGCAAACAGATAATTGCTCTCTTTTGTTTTTTAAATTACAGATAGCTAGACATAGACATCTGCTTGCCATACTCAAAAACATGCTGTCAGGGTTTTTTGAAATGTTCCCTTGCTATTCATAAAACCTGTTTTTTGTTTTTGTTGTTGTTTCATAATTCTTTGCATAAAGACAATTTAAAATGTTTAACAACTTCACTGGACAATTTGGTGGATAAGGAGTTGGTTGAATGGTCACAGCCAGAAGGTTGTGGTCAATGGTTCTATGTTCAGGTGGAGATTGGTGACAAGCAGGGCTCTCCAGGGGTCCATCTTGGGACTGTACTCTTTAACATCTTTATCAGTGACATGAATGATGGGATTGTATGCACCCTCAGCAAGTTTGCTGATGACACCAAGCTGCCTGGTGCAGATGGTACAGCAGAAGGGAGGGATGTCATCCAGAGGGACCTTGAGGTTCAACATAGCAAAGTGCAAGGCTTTGCACTCGGATCAGAGTAACCCCAGATATGAATACAGACTGGGAGAACTCCTTGGGAGCAGCCCTGTGCAGGACTTAGGGGTCTGGTAGATGAAAAGCAATATGGGCCAGCAGTGCGTGCGTGCAGCCCAGAAGGCCAATGGTATCCTGGGCTCCATCAGAAGAAGAGTTGCAAAAGGGGCAGAGAGGTGATCATCCATCTCTACTCTGCCCTTGTGAGGTCCCATCTGAAATACTGCATCCAAGTCTGGGATGCCCACATAGGAAGGATGTGGAGCTGCTTCCCAAGGAGGGCCACAAAGATGCTCAGTGGGCTGGCTTACATCTTCTTTAGAGACATGCTGAGAAAACTGGGTTTGCTCAGCCTGGAGAAGAGAAGGCTATGTGAAGACTGTTATTGCCTTCCAATATTTTAAGGGAGATTAAAAATAGGAGAGAAATCAACTTTTTTTTACATGGGTAGATTCTATCCCAAAGGGAGAGAGGTTTAGATTAGATGTCAGTGGGACATTTTTCACTGAGAGGAAGTGAGGTGCTGGAACAGGCTGCCCAGAGAGGTTGAGGATGCCCAGACCCTGGAGGTGTTTAAGGGTGGGTTGGATTGTGCCCTGGGCAATCTGATCTAATACTTGATCTAGTGGCTGGCAACTCTGCCTGCGGCAGGGGGTTGGAAGTTGATGATCCTTGAGGTCCCTTCCTACCCAATCCATCCTATGATTTACACACTATCATGGCAGGCTGTCACACACATGTTATGTTTGGGGTTAAATCAGTCTGGATATATTATGGAGAATGGTACAATACAACTGCAATACAACATGATCTTTAGCAAGTCACTTATTTTCTTTGCACCCTAATTTCCTGCAAGTAAAACAGGTAGGGGAACAGTGCTTCCCTGCTTTATAGGGGTGCTATAAGAATATCTATGTTTTTGACACCATGGGATTGGGCTCCACCTGTCCCTGCACAGATGCTGCCATACTGTGATGTGTGAGCACACATTATTTGCCCTGAGGGAACAGAGATTTGCAAAGAATCCTGGAGTAGGGATCGACAGGCTGAGCCAACAGGAAAGTACCTTTGGGAAGGAGCAAAACATAGGAGCTGAGAAATTGCAGCTGTGGCAGCCAGAACCTCTTCAGAGCTGTACCATCATCTAGGGATGCTTGGAAAACAGAACATACCTATTTGTGACAATGTCTGCAAGCACACAAAAAAAGGCAAAAAACTCCACAGTGCCTGTCTCCCTGCATGCAGAAAGCCTCTGGGACAGTGCTGCTGGCTTTGCCACTACAATGATGGGCTGAATTCAAGGTGAGATGAACCAGCATTTTGATAGGTACTGTAGTTAAACTGCATGGAAGCACTGAATCCATTCTGTATGTATACTTAATTTAGTTTTGAATTCTTGCAAGTTCACCTTGATAGCTGAAACTGTGAACTCATCTGCATTGGTATTACTTTGACTCATTAAGCATCTCACAGAACAGCAGGCTCAAAGGGAAAAGGCAATTTGAACTTTCCTCTTAATCCTTGTAAGAGCGATGTAGCACACAGAAAGTGTTCCGTATTGACAAAGATCTTCCATTCACAAAAAGGTGAAAAATGCTTTCAGCCTTTTCTTTTCTGCTTTAGTTTTGCTGCTTGCATCTCAAACCCTGCCTGTGCTCAGGGAAACAAATTCATTTAGATAGCTCTTTCCATACCCCAGACATTCTGGAGAAGATCCTTTAGCTGCTGAGCAAAATCCAGCTGTGTGTGTGTATAAACATTTAAGTTAGCAGAGCGTGGCTGTTTGGTGCAGGCTTAACTCTGCTCAAAGCCCAGAGTAAAGCAAGGCCTCTGCTGGGCCTCTGCTGTTGAGCGTGACTGATGTTGGTAGCACAGAATGAAAGTCAAGCAGATGCTGGCAGGAATTATATATCGATTTATTTTGGATAGCACTCAGAGTGTGATGTTCAGATGTGACCAGTGATTCATCTCAGAGCTGGAGAAGCTGCCGACAGAAAGAACAAACTGGGTTTTATAAAGCATTCGTACTTGCAGCTTTCTCAACTGACTTGTATGGCCTTTGAAAGAAGGACTGCATCCCTTTTAATACATGTTACAGCACCAGTTTGAAAGAGTCCTGTTAGTTAAAGGATGAGAACTTTTGTACTTTTAAGAAAAGCCAGTCAGTTTCTTTCATGTTTAATACACAATAATTCATGGGTGCTTGCTCATTGCATTCAATGGCTGGCAGTACTGTGACTTCAGATAACCATGAGGAGTTTTATCCTTGGCATCCAGATGAGGTGCGCAGAAGGGAGCAGGGAGCCAGCCAGTCTGCTGGGCACTGAGCAGTGCCTCACACTGGGTTTTCTAGGCAGCTAGACATGAAATTGCCAGGCTAAATACATGCGTCCAAACACCACGAGGCATGCAACCACATAGGGTTAGCCATATTTCTAATGCCACAGAAGTGAACTGATAAGGTGGATTTTTGCTGATTGACAGACATTTTATTCCATGGTGTCCTCCATCTCAGCTCAGAAGAATTGAGAGTATTTATTGAAAATCAGACTGAAAACTCACCATTTTCCCAGGATTTTTATCAGCTTCTGGGTGCAATGTAAATTATGGGCGCTGATTATTAAAGCCCTGTAGACCAGGCGTTGTCTACCTGCAATGGGAGTTAAGATGCTGCATGTACCTCACAAACAGCCACAGAGTACATTCAGGTGATGATGGGTGACACGTTATATCCGAACAAAGACATTTTGGCCTTGAAACTAAATTCCAGTGTCAGTCCCTACAAAGCCAAATATGCCTCAGTGAAGACATGACAGAGACGTCTGCTTGCTCAGCTCTTGGCCCAGAGCTTTGGGTTGGGTGCCTGGCACTCACTGTGTGCTGCTCACTGTAACTCAGAAGCCCTGCACACGGGGTACACAGCCAAGTGAACCTCACTATAAAAGGAGGCTTTGAAAGGAGCAGAAAGGAATTAGGGATCCGACGCCTATTATGGCACAAGAAGAGTTGGGTGCTTCTCCATTTAGACTTAAATCAAAGGCTGTGTATGAAGCATGACTTCTCTGAGGTCTACACAGTGGGACCAATATAAGGAGGTGGGGCATCCCAGGCACCATATTGGAGCGATCTGGATCAGTGTGGGCTTTTTTCCCCCAAAATTATAGCAAGTATTTGCAAGTGCTACACTTGGAACAGGATGATCTTTAAGTCTCCTCCCAATCCCTACCAATCTATGAGTCTACAATACACCACGACTCCTCTGGTGCGCCCAGGTACAAATGTGACACAAGTAAACTTGTAAGGCTTCTTCTCATACACAGAGCTGTGCAGGGGCAGAAGAGAGCTGAAGAGATTGGTGTAGTATGAAAAGACATAGGCAATGCAATGAGAAAGCTGGGAAAGACTTCCAATTTAAACAACTGCACGATTCTGTGATGGGTTATGTCACGAAAGGGTGGGAGGGAGGGAAAAACAACACCCAAATGCGCAGAAATGGAAGATATTTAGCTCTCAGCAGAGAGCTCTGCACCAAAACCAGGCCCTTCTGGGTGTAAGAGGGCATTTCCAGGAGATGGACATATCTGTGCACCTGCAGATTGAAAGAGTGAGGGATTTTTGTTTGATATCTGGGTATGATATTGACTTTTAGAGGATACTGCAGGGATCAAAATCTCAGTTGAACTCTTATCTGGCTGTGTGGCAGGTTTCTGCAGCCAGCCTCACAGCTGGACTCTGCAAGCAGCTGCAAAGCTGTTATAGCAAAGGTTAAAGAGAAAAACCCTTCTCTTTTCCTTGCCTATCACCCACCCTGCTGATCTGAATAAAATATAACTGATAAGAGGCCCTAAGACTGTTATCTGTCTGAACCTGGTCACGGAGGTGGGGATGTGGATTCTTTTTGGAGCAGCAGTCAGAAAAAAAAAGAAAAGAAGAAGAGTACACCAAAAAAGAAAGTGGAAAAACCACACCAGTTTGGAGCTGCTGATAACCTCTCTGGGCTGACATGATTGCAGAGAGATGTACAGCATCCTAATGAAATGCTAGAGCTCTGCAATGCCTCTCCTCCCCATATGATGCTGTGTGGGACCCATCCCCTGCCAGCACCGTAAGTGTTACCAGTACTAGGGCAGAAATGGACTTTCTTGCAGTCACTATGGAGGATACCTCCAGCTCCCATGGGCTGAGCTTCCTCTGCCACCACGGTAACACAGGGACATGGGGAGGGACAAACTGAGGACAGAGCTGTATCCAACACCTGAATTCAGGGGAACTGATCAAGTGGCTCTGAACTAACACAACGTAGTGTTTCTTGAGCGTATCAATTCTCAAGCTGGGGAGAAAGGAATGAGCATAGCAGGGATGGTATCATCCCTGGGGAATTTCTAGTGCAAGTCAAATTTACAAACAAATAGCATGAAAATGGAAAACATCATCTTTGTTTCTGAACAGGGCATAATAAGAAAAATCTCGTTCAGTTCCTGCTTAGATAGCACAGCTGCTTTCTGGGATCCCTTGGTTATCTGCTGCTCCTCTACTGCCATGTTTTGACGCTGGGGTCGTTTAGATAAGTCGTATAACCCAACTTGTATACTGCACCACAATGCTCTGATACATATCATGTACTGGCTGTGCTCTGCCAGCTGGGGAGCTGGGATAGGGTGAGGGAATCCCCGTGACTCTTTGGAGAGTCAACCCTGATTCCTAGAGAAGCATCAGTCAGGGTGGGACCGCCTTGCAGGGACTAATCAGCCCCCAACCTGTCACTGGTTTGGGCATCCCAAAGGTGCAGGGAGCGCTTCTGGGAGGACCAGTGAGCTGCAGGTGGGACAGGAGCACAGTCAGGGGATGCTGTGCTTCAGCTCAGAGGGCTCTGGATTGCACAAGATCTGGGAGAAGGCGCGTGTGAGAAGTCAGGCGGGTTGGCGAGAGACGCAAAAGACAGCAGATATCGATACCGTTCGATGCCGTTCATACAAAGTTACTCGGGCCACAACAGGGACGCGCGAAGTGACTTTGCCTTCCGCCCCACCAGGAGAACACGAAAAGTTCGGCCAACCGCATCCGCACCGTTTCTTGCCATCCCCGACCCCGCGCCGTTCCGGGCACCCGGCTGCCCACGTTCCCCACAGGACACCCCCCGGGACCCCGCGGTACTTACGCACGGGCGGGCGCGGGGCGCGCCCCCGGCGGCGGCGTCGGGCAGCGCAGGGCGGACTGGGTGCAAGCACAGCGCTGCGGGCAGCGGCCGCCCCCCGCTCCGGGCAGCAGAGCGGGCAGCAGCAGCGGCAGCAGCGCGGGCAGCATGCCGGCAGCACCGCGCCTCGCTCTGCTGCTCTCGCCCGCGGCACGCGCCCAGTTCCTCCCGCCCCGCCCCGGGGCGTGCTCGCCCCCCACCGCCCGGCCCGCCCGCAGTCGGATCTGCGCTGGGGGATTCCGCGCTCCTCTATTTGAGGAGGTGCGGAAGTGATGCCGTCCCCTCTGGAGGTGATAACTGGCCAGCGAGAGGCGTTTGCTCGGTGAGGGATCAGAGGGAGGTACCTCGTGGTGCGGGACTCGTTAAGTTTGCGGTGGGCACCAAGTTGGGAGGGAGCGTCGATCTGCCCGGGGGTAGGGAGGCCCTACATGTGGATAGGCTGGATCGCTGGGCTGAGGGTAACTGTATGAGCTTCAACAAGGCCATGGGCTGAGTCCTGCAATTTTATCACAGCCCCACGCATCACTACTACAAAGCTGCACAGAGGAAAAGGATCTGGAGGTGTTAGCTGACAGTTGGCTGAGCGTGAGCCAGCAGTGTGCCCAGGGTGGCCGAGAAGGCCAATGGCATCCTGGATTGTATCAGAAATGGTGCAGCCAGCAGGAGCAGGGTGGTGATTGTACCTTTGTACTTGGCACTGGTGAGGCTGCATCTCGGTACTGTGTTCAGTGTTGGGCCCTGCACTACAGGGAAGGCATCGAGACCCTGTCTGTCCAGAAAAGGATCTGGAGCGCAAATGTGATGGGGAGCAGCTGAACTAGGATTGTTCAGTTTGGAGAAGAGGAGGTTCAGAGGAGAGCTTATTGCCTTCTACAGCTGCCTGAAAGGAGGTTGTGGCGAGGTGGGGTTGGCTTCTCTCAGGTGACAGCGATAGGACAAGAGGGAATGGCCTCAAGTTGCACCAATGGAGGTTCAGATTGGTACTAGGAGAAATGTCTCCTCAGAAAGACTGATGGAGTCACTGTCCCTGCATTGTTCAAGAACAATGGAGAAGAAGTACTTAGGGACATGGTTTGTGGGCATAACAGTGCTGGGTTGACAGTTGGACATCATGGTCTCAAAGGTCTTTTGCAGCCTTATTGTTTCCATGATTCACAAAGGTCTGTTTTGTAAAGAACCATTTTTCACAGAACAGTCATTATTGATGTTGTTATTGTTATTTACTGCTGCTACTTCTAGAAGTTATAGGAAGAATTCAGGACTTTCTTTGTAACAAATGATGGAGCGACCCACAAAGCAAGCTAATTGCTCTCCAGAGGACTTGCAAACCAAATGAAAGGGTATGGGATCACCTTTAGCTACCTTCACCTTTATGTGTCTTCAAGAAAAGGTCTCTGAGACTCCCTCCCCAAAACTATCACTGGGAGATGTTAGCTACATGCCAAGGTTTTGAAACCCTCTTACTTTTAACAAAACAAATTAGTACAACAAGCAAAGAACTTGATTTCTGTTTGAAAGATGCAGTCTCTTGGGAGTCTTGCACACCTGGTCTTGAGTTGGTAGCTATCCAAAATGGAGCTGTTTTTATGAATAAATTCAGGCATGTGTGCACATTGTGCTAATATAAATTCACATGCACAGGCACAACAGCATAGGACCAAAGAATCATTAAGGTTGGAAAAGGCCTCTAAGATCATCGTGCCAGCCACCATCCATTCTCTCTGTGCCTGCTGACCCATGGCCCTCAGTGCCACATCTACATGGTTTTTGAAGTTCATACAGGGATGAACCTTGTATGGCTTTGCAACAGTGTATGCAGTTATACACCTATGTTCCTGTGTGGCTGCATGGCCGTAACAAACGGCAGCACAAATATACTACAGTTCAGGGAACCATCTGTATTGTGGCACTACTGGAGAAGGAGCTCAGCTTTGACGATGTGCTGAAGTTTCAGTGAAGTCCCCGGGACTAAAGGACGTGCTTGATGTTACTGCTGCAGTCAGGGACAGCGCTGCACTTGTTGGAGAGCTTTTCAGAATCCTTGTCTCAAGGCTGCTGTAGAGAAGTGTGTGTGAGCCCTTTGCCCACAAGAATCGTACCAGTGATAACAGCCACGGGGGCAGCAGCTGCAGGTTGTGGGCAGGAAAAAAATGTAAACAGGAAAATCCTGCAGCCTTTATATCCCATCTGATGCCCCCAAGCTGAGGGGTGGAATTGGTGGAGCAAGGACTTGACACAGCAGAGCTATTGCAGGTTTGACATCCCATAGCAGGTCTCAAACCTGCCAACTCACAGCTTGCAAGAGTCATAGATCCAATTTAGGGCTGTTAGGCTAATTTGCTCCTTTTTCTCTCTTTCTCCATTTGCTAACCTTAACAACCCTTTATATAGTTCCTCAGAGAAGCAGTGCCAGCGGAATACTCATGTGTGGAAGAAATTGCTTTTGAGATACAGAACACAGCTAATTACGACACTACAATTAGCTGAATGCCCTTAACAGGGTCCGAGGGGGGAATGATAGCTCAGCATCTGCTGCACCATATGCTTTTCTGGTTTCCAGAAGACAGCGGTGGGCACGTGGGCTGCCATGAGTTGTGCTGTCTGCCTGGTGAGCAAAGCAAGTCACAGATGCTTCACTATTTCCCCAACCCAACTGTTGCAGGCTGAAGCCCAATTCCTCCAAATAAAGACTGGGAGTGGAATCAAGATGTTGATCGAGCAAGGGTGTGCTTTCACTTATTAAAAGATGGATGAGAAAGAGAGGAAAAAGGAGAAGAAAAGGAAGGAGAGAAAAAAAGTTCTGGGGGGACCAGAATCATCTTTAGCAAGATGACCAACTCCTGGCTTCTCCACTGTGTGAGCACATGTATTTGTTCTGCACCTTCCACAAGAGTGTGACAGTATGGGTTTTGTTCTGAGGGCCTCTCAAGATTGTTGCAATTGAGAATTGTACACTGTAACAGTGTTACAGTTCCATAGGGTGTTAACACAGAGTCTGAAACAGAAGGAAACGTGCCACTTCCGTCCCACACCAACCTTGGCTGGAAATGTATGATGCTGCATTTATAGAATCAGAGAATCATAGGTTCGTAGAATCATTATAGTTGGAAGGGACCTTTAAAGCTCATCTAGTCCAACTCCTCTGCAATGAACAGAGACACACACAGCTAGATCAGGTTGCCCAAGGCCTGATCCAGCCTGGCCTTGAAAGTCTCCAGCGACGGGGCATCAACCACAACACTGATGGTAACCTGTTCCTGTGCCCCACCACCCTCACTGTAAACAACTTCTTCCTCATGTCCAACCTAAATCTACCCTCCCTGAGCTTGAAGCCATTTCCTCTTGTTCTGTCAGCACAGACCCTGCTAAAGAATCTGTCCCCTCCTATCCTGTACCTCCCCTTTGGATACAGAAAGGCCGCTCTCCTTGCAGTCTTCTCCATGCTCAACAGCCCCAGCTCTCTCAGCCTGTCCTTATAGGCAAGGTGTTCCATCCTTTGGATCATTATCTGCCAGGATGAAATATGCTTTCCTGGCCTCAGACTCCATCATGGAGATGGATGTAGGATGATGCAATGGTAATTTGTATTTCGTTGTTCATGAGGGCATAATTCATCCCAAGAGGAGGTACCATAGCAAGGAGTGTTTGGAGCTAGCAGCAGTATGGCTTGCAGTGGGCTGAGCTCGGCTCTGAGTTATCACAGCTCAGTGAATTGCCCATAAAGCAGAACTGCTGCTTTCTGCATTGTTTTCACTATGCCACTGGATAGCTGAAGTGCTCTTCTGGGCACTGTTTGCTGAAAGAACTTTGCCTTGTCCCAAACACCCCAGCCCCGTGGATGTACCACTCACCATGTTCAATCACCTTTGCCAAATTCGGCTCCAGAGTTAACATGAATCTTCTGCTCCCACTTACTGCTTTATTTTTTATCATGTTTTGAAAATATTTTACATTCTTTTGCCTTAACCAGGCCCAGAACTGAAAAAAAAAAAAAAAAAGAGGATGTATGGTGGCATTATTAGAAAGGACGTTGTTATAGACATAAGGCAGTAACTAAATCCAGACCACATCCACCACATCCATCCTCCTTAGTAGTGATAACAGGAGGGTTTGTTTATGGGAAGCCGCTCTCTGTTATTTGCTCAATTACTCAGTTATTGATCCTCTCTTTGCAGCCTGGTTGACAGACTTGTTCTGTAAGGACAAAGGGACATCAGAGGAGGTCAGGGAGCAGCATTTTGCTCACTGGGGCCACTGTATTACTTCTCTGGGGAATGCACCAGTTTAAGCTTTACTTAGCACTGCCTGGACCAACTGTGGATTTCAATGAGGCAGCTGTGGCTCCTTGTTTGCAAGAAGGTCTGAGTGCCAGAATGGGGAAAGAGCCAGCCTGTGAATTTACACTTGTGCATGAAGCAGCTAAAGCATAAAGCGGGGAGGAGGTTTGAAGTGGTGAGCTGTAAGCTTTATTTGCCAGATGAGGAAAACGGTTGTCTTTGATCCTGTAATCCGCATGTCAGCTGGATTATGCATGAAGTAAGGAAGCACAGCATGTTTTTGGAGTCCCTCTTCTGCAGAAGTCCTTTCGCCTTCTTATTCGTCTTCTGACTGCTTGTGTTGTCTCAGAATGTCAAAAGAGGGTAATACAGCCATCACGTCTGAGCCTGATGCTCATCTCACTTTTTGCACGCATCAAACATGGATTTAAAAGCTATTTTAAAGTACATTAAAGCCATAATGAGGAGCAAAGGAGGCCCCATGCTTCTGAACGTTTGATGCTTACCTCGTTGAATGCAGGAGGAAGGGATTATTAAGAACATAAAAGCTGCTCTATCAGGAGCTTAAAAACACTCCAAGGGAAACAAAATCTGTTGTGCTTTGCTGCTGTGATTTAAGAGCCAAATTCTACTCTCATTTATAATGGCATACATTTGAATTTGATTGACTCTGGATTAACATTGCTGCAAATGAGATAAAAATATGACTCCAGAAGTTCATAAGGCAGGAAGCACTTCAGCAGTTCATTTTATGGGTGCATGTGCTCCTACCAGCTCTGTGGTTTGGCATCCTACCCTGGATGCGCTATGGTGCATCAGATCTCTTTTTAATGGGCCCAATTGGGATGGTAGATCCAGTCAGATTGGTGAAATTCCACTG